GCAAACACATTCTTAACTTTAACTGTAAATTAATATAAACAGATTTTATTCCTAGCAATTTTGGAGCGTTTCTATTGGTCAGTTCCTTATGAAATTTTCACAAAATATCAAAGGGAGCTGCTGAGCTCAAGTGATATAGAAAAGCAAAATTGCAAAAAATAGAAATACTTGTTTTGGTTTTTTTTTTTGGACAGCGACGATTGTCCAAAAGTTTTTAGATACCTTCTCATTTAATGCTTCTTCTAAAAGCACAGGTATTCAGGAGTTATTAGGAGTTTTTTCAGACTCTACTCTTCTGGGAAGGCTTTACACTAGATGTTGGAACATTGCTGTGAGGACTTGATTGCGCTCAGCCACAAGAGCATTAGTGAGGTCAGATGCTAATGTTGGCTGATAAGTTCTGTATTGCAAACAGGTTTGTCCCACAATATCTTGTGTCACAGGACTAATTTTCAGTCTTGTGCACGGGATTGGGCAGATAACCAGCCCCCTACAGGAGGGAGCAGGATGAAGTATGCATGAAGAGAAATCCCGTAAATGTAATGAACAGCCTAAATAAAGTAGAAAGATCACTAGACAGAATGCAATAATGTGCAAATCATTTACACTCTGTATTTATTTGAAAATGTTTCAAAGACAGTGTATCAAATGTTGAAACAATTTTTGCGACAAATGTTGAGACAAATTTTATTGTTTTTGAAAAATATATGCCCATTTTGAATTTGATGCCAGCAACACATTTTAAAAAAGTTGGGATAGGGCAACAAAAGACTGGTAAAGTTGTGTAATGCTATGTAATGGAGCATCTCACAACAAATCAGGTTAACTGGCAGAAAATCCCAGAGGGGCTGAGTCTTACAGAAGTAAAGACGGGAGATCTGTGAAATACTGCATGGGCAGTACGGTTCGTCACTGCATCCACAAATGCAAGTTAAAACTCTACCATGCAAAGACGAAATCATAGATAAACAGGATCCAGAAACACCGCCACCTTCTCTGGGCCTGAGCACATTTAAGGCTGATGCACATCTGTAAATGCATCATTAATGCTGAATGATATATACAGGTTTTGGAGCAACATATGCTGCCATCCAGATGATATCTTTTTCAGGAAAGCTCTTGCTTATTGCAGGAACACAATGCCAAACCACGTTCTGCATGTTTTACAACAGCATGGCTCAATAGTAAAAGAGTTCAGGTGCTAAACCGGCCTGCCTGCTGTCCAGATGTGTCATCCACTGAAAAGAATTGCTGCATTATAAAACAAAAAATGCATGTGATGCAACACAGTGGTAAACATGCCCCGTCCCAACTTTTTTTGCAGTGTGTTGCTGGCATTAAATTCATAATTGGCATCTATTAAAAAAAAATCAAAATCTCTCACTTTGTACTATGTTCAATTAAATATGGGGTTTAAATGATTTGCACACCATTGCATTCTGTTTTTATTTACATTTTGCACAGTGTTCTAACTATTTTTGGAAATGGGGTTGTATTAAACAATATGAAATGATAACAGTAAAACAGTTAAAATTAATTAAGCCATTCTAAAGAGTTGCGAAACAATGGATCACATTAACAACATGCAAATTCTTGTGGCCACATGCAAATTCTTGTGGCCAGAGCTGCCAAGCCCAGCAAAATACCTAAATGACCGTTCTGTGGTTTAATGCCTGATTTGTGTTTACTGGGAATAAATGGCATTTGGTGTAGTTACTTCACAGTGAGCCCAATGACTTTGACTACCATGCTGTTTCAGCAAAGAATAATGTATTTGTGAATAGACTGTGTCAAATTTTGGATGTCAGTTTGCCTTGATGGAACCATGCGGGCAGGAGCGGGCCACAATGTTTCGTTTGCGGGACAAATGATTCAGAGTTTCTGTGGAAGTGAGATGAAATCTTGTGGGAGCAGGCCCTACTCAAAAGTATTGGATGGTGCTCCATCACTTCAGAGAACACAGTCCCTCTGCTCCACTGCCCAGTGCTGGGCATGGTGACCTCATGTCAGAAACCTTGCCGTTTCAGAGATGCTCTGACCCAGTCGTCTGGCTGTAATGATCTGACCTTTGTTAAAGTCACTCAGGTCTTCACGCCTGTCCATTTCTCCTGCATCCAACATGCTGTCGACGAGAACCAACTGTTCGCTTACCAACTAATACATCCCAGACCTTGACATGCGCCACTGAGATAATCAACGTTATTTGCATCACCTGTGAGTGTTCATAATCATCGGTGTAAACAAATAATTTTTTTTTTTTTTAAAGATGGTCTTTGAGATCCACATCAGTGTGGTCACATGAAAGCACATGTCTGGACTCAATAGTCAATCTGAGTCAAACAATGACATGAAAAAGAACTGCGGAAAGGAAGTAGCATCCAAAGTTCTGCCTCACTTGCTTTTCAATTACGGCAGACGAAGCAGAACGGAATTGTTAGTGCCATTTATCGAATGTGCTTCTATCCGTATTAAAGTGCAAGTCGAGAAATCCATCCCCTTGTATAACAACCTGTCTGTTTTACAACAACAAAGAGATCCCTTTCTTGTCAGATAGCCCCTGTCAGTTCATTAGAAACAAGGAAAGGAGAAAACGAGGGAAGAAAGACGCACTGACAAAGACACACTCCTCCACACGTGCAGTCAGTGACGGCAGTCATCCTGAAGAATGCCTCTTCTTGCCTCTATGTATTCAGCTGGTGCAGAACAAAAGCTGTAGCTGAATGAATCGATTATGATAATGATTGGTTGGTGTGAAGAGCTTTTTGCCCACTGAATGAAAGTGAGATGATGGATTATTGAAAAAGCATTAACAGAGATCTTTATGCATCGCTAGTTACCCTTTTCCCCAACGTGGACAACTGCATTGTTCTTTTCTGACTGTAAACTTGCAATCACGGTTTCTATTCACAGTGGTGTTTTAAGTTCTACATTATGGATTACAATGACAAGGCACTGTGAAAACAACCAGCTATTTAAAAACTGTGTGTTATTTATCTTAACTTTTAAATCCCTGTCTTCTTGGTGAGACATTGGTATTCTTCCTGAACCTCTCCAGCAGTTTAAAGAAACATTTATTTCTCGAGTTTGTAATGAGCATTAACATAATAGAAACACAGCAATAAATGAAGCAGATATTACAGTAATCAGTTCATCATTACTGTAGCTCATTTTTAATAGATAAATATTTCATGGCAAAGATAATGAGTGGAATGACTGTGTGTGCATGACTTCCACTTTTAGCATCTTAAACAGTAAACAGACACAGCTATGTAGAACTGTTTGGAAATAAAAAAATTACTTTCCCAGTTTCCTAATTTTCCCACTTCATTCATTTTTTTTTGCATCAAATAACACTGAGAAGTACATTCGAATCAACTGAACTTGTGATGGAGAGGAATGTAACAGTGTGGAATATTTCATGCAAAACAAGCTGCCATGCTCCCTGTTGATTAGGTTGGGCCCTTTAATGTCTGTCTTTCAGCAGTACATACATGACTTTTCTGTAAATATTGCTGATTTTTTTTTTAAATAAAAACCAATTACTGTGATGGGGTAGATATGTTATTCTTGACTGAGCCTATCAAGGATGTAGAAAAAACAAATGATCAAAGTTGAATAAAAGTAAAACTTACCAGCTTTTGTACTTAGCTCCTGTGAGGGCTTTAATGATGTCACTTCCTCTTCATCATGTCATGATGTTTTTTTCTAAACTTCCTTTTTTTTTACTGATGCAATTATTCACAATAATTACAACACACATCACTACAACACGCATCACTACTACACTAAATGGGTAAATTAATTACTTAAAATCCCAGTCTTATTGTATACTAAGGCTTATTATTGAGTAACTACAGGAACTTCACTGCAAACTCAGCTGTTCTTAGAGTGTAAAAGTAAAAACTTTGAGCCTGCCAGTGGGCCGTGGCCATGAAAGGAGTTAACAACAGCAAAGTCATCTAAAATAGCACAGAGTGAACTACAATAAAATAAATAAATAAATAATGATCACTCATTTGAACTATATTTTTATGGTTAAATATGCTGGTGTGAGGTATGAAGCCATTGATTTTATTTTAAATTGACACAGACAGACAAATCGTCATGGCAAAGGTTTGATTTTAAAACAACTTTTAGTAATGTTTGAGATGGAACTTCAGTGACTGTCTACGCAGACTATACAAGCTTAACTTTTCAGTTAGTTTTTCATACATTGTATTATTGATGAACTCTGAATTAATGTATTTAACTTTGAAAGACACTTCTTAGCAGATTTGAACCTTGGACATTTTGTAAATGGCACTTTTTTGCAGAATAACTGAAAATGACTTTAACAAGTTGCACTGTAGCTTCTTTCAGTTCTCGATCCTACGTGTTTATGGATTAGAACCTGTCCCTGGTCGAGCACTTACAAAGTTAACTACAGAACCTCTCATAAGCAGTACATCTGTTTCATCTGGAAATTAAAAATCTCTTGGTAAAGATTGATGTTGATTTTTTGTCTTTTTCAGTGAGACTGTCTCTCACCGAGCTCCTGCTATGGCCTTCATAATTTCTGTCTTGATTAGTACAGTCTAAGTGAGAGGGGGCGCTGTGGACCAGGCAGAAATAGTCGATCTCAGAGGCTTTTCCCTTTGTGTTTATATTTTTAATTCTTTTAGAGGGAAACTGTCAACCATACCCAAAGTGCTGGACCAAAGAGAAATAATGTATGCTTTTGTGAGGTTCTTTGAGGACGACATGTGCTATGCTTTACCCGTTTCAAATGTGAAAGATTTCAGACCTCGGCACAAAACAGATTTTGATAATCAGAAGGTGTATCTGGTTGTCAGAAGTGAAGAGAATGGTACAGGCCAGCCAGGCAAGGCGCAGATTCTCGCTCTCGCAGGTAAGTTGTCTAATCGCATGGGGCTTTTCTTCATTATTTATTTCATTTTCCACCACTGTTCTGACTTACGTTCACTAATCAGTCAGGGAACATCGACGCGCTCCACCGAAATCTCATGGCACTGTCGTTGTGTGGCGACAGTGTTTCCCTGTTTGAGCAAGGTAACCGTGCGGCTTCGCCACTTCTGCTTCTTGGTCACTTGTTTATGTCGAGGGCGGTTTGTCTTGCTAGCTCAAATATTAGCAAGTGTGAAAAGCTACTGAAATATGTCACTCGGCTTTTGACGACGGTTTGTCGCAAGCCTCCGTGATAGCCAGCTTTCGGAAAAGATAAAGGTAACTTTTATTCCAGTAAAGCAGAAGAAGAAGCGAGCGCTCGAAATAGCGAGATAGCTAACCTAGCTAGGTGTTTCGTAAGTTAGCAGGCTAAAGGTGCTAGGTGTGTAGCTAGCCGACATGCTAACATTAGCGACATACACAGATACTTCATGTAATTAATGTGAGAGATAAATTAGATTGGCGAACTTTTAATGAGGACTTGCTCGCGTTTCATTTATCTAGATGTATATTTTAACTCATGGAGCTACGTTGAAGGTCTTATTCTTTCGGTGCTTGTAGCATTTTGTCCCAACAAAACAAGAGAAATGTTGTGTAGAACTGGGAGGGCTGTCCGCCTGGCACAAGGCAAACCATCATTTCACTGGCAGTCTCCTTCTGCTGGGGCTAGCAGGGTACTTAGCTAGATTACTAATCCTCATACGTTGCTTAGCCCTGTTGTTAAAACGGAACGAAAGTCCGATCTTGTTAGGAACAGAGGTCTGTAAGGTGGGGGGCAAGTTCTGTTGTACAGTTAGTTTGTAGAAGCCAGAGTAACATGTGGGTAGATTAACGTAAGCGTAAAAGTACTTACTAAATGACTCGAGTATCTTTACAAAAACAGCTTGAGGAAGTGCAAAACATACCACATCAATCATACTTAACTATTGAGTAATTTATAGAACTCAAATTATTAGCAGCGTAAGAACTGAAGTTTCTTAAAGGGGAATTCCACCGATTTTTCAAACTTTCTGCATAATTCAGTCTTTAAGATGTGAACAGTCATTCAGAGTGGTTTGAGGTGAAATACACTGTCCTAGAGAAACTTACTGAGTCGGAATTGTTTACAGTGGTGGTGACAGGAACCAGACATCCACCTTTAAAAGCTCCCTCGCAGAGAGTTGTTACATGAAAATATTTGCAAATTTGCTTATTTGGTTGAAAATTTGTCTGATGTCTGAGACATTGTTTTATGATAGTTTTGAGAGAAAGATTTGGCCTACAATATATTTGATTAAGATCTGTTTAGGGCAGAGGGGTACCTGCAGGGTGCTTTGAGGCAAAATAGTTCCCAAAGAACTATCAAAGTAGTTAAACAAAGATGTACCATTATTTTACTGTTTTACATAGACATTATGACCCTTGGTTCCTATCACCACCACTTTAAAAAAATCGGAGTTAGTAGGTTTCTCTACAATGAACCATTTCACATCAAAATACTCTGAATGACCTTTTATTTACATCTCAACAACTGAATTATACATAAATTTTGAAAAATCAGTGCTTTAAGTGCTGTTCTTGTTTTACTTATAGAAGTAAATGTATTGTTTGAAAACACTCATGTAAGTATAAATCATGTAAATATAAATCCAAAGTTTTACTAGAGCAAATGTCACTAGCTGATTACAGTACTACAGTGGATCAGACCACATTATTCTAGCCAAGTTTGCCTTTTGGCGTACCCTCCAGGTAGTGGCTAGAATGCACTTACAAAAAGTTCATATTAAGCACAGTCACAGTAGTACTGCTTACTTTATAGCAGCGTGCTAAACTGTTTTATAATCATATTGATGCAGACACCTCAAATATTCATATTAAAATTTGCATAAACTTTTATCAAATTCGTAATTATTTGGTGAAGTGATCATTGATTTGTAACACTATTCTAAGACAGATTGCATTTTTTCTAATGTGGTATTATTGTATACATTGCTGACAATTGTTTTCTTGCTTCTTTTCCAGATAGCATTGAGGAATTTGAGAACAGTATTATGCAAAAGAAGATGAAAATTCCTAAAATGTCTACCAGGAATGCAGGACACGCAGTAGAAAATCACTTTGGCGAGGAAAGAATGCCCCTCAGACATAAAAAGGTACAGTGCACGTCCAGTACACCTCATCAGACTGACCTTAGATCAAAAAGAATGCTGCTAAGCATGCTCTTATAGTGGGCTGCAGACTGTTTTCCTGCCAGCAGGCTGGATTAATTTGGAATTCATGCACAAATCAGGATTGGCTTAACATGGATTTTGCACTGATATTAAGAATGTGTTTTAAATTCTGGCTGGGCACAAGAGAAATGGAGTATATTACATTTAGACTAAGGGAGCAGAATTAAGACAAAAAAATAAGAATTATCATGAAATACCATAAATGATAACATTACTAGTTTAATTGTGTGCTTTAAATGCACAAATTTTAACATTACTTTTTGAATGTTAAGGGAGATTTCTGGCATATATTAGTCACAATGAAGAGTACTATGCCTTTTTTTAACTGAGCTCATTATAACTAGTTTACTATAATTGAAATCATTGGTAATTATCTTGGTTTCAGCAGTGTTGCTTAAACCAAGATCCTATAGCATGCCTGTAAGGTTACATATCCTGTCCATGCACAGAGGGCATAGTTCAGCGTTATTGCTGGTAGGCTATTTGACATCATTGTTCCACAAGCCTCCTGTCTCGCTCTTAGTTACAAAGAAGCGATATTTGCCTACCAGCCATATGGTACAGGTGTTTCAGAGTGTCTTGGAATTCACTATGAGTGTAATTTGCACTTGAAACTGTACTGCGCTGATGTGTTAGTGATCCCCATTAAAAATGAGATATTAATCATTAATGATCCAGTGTGGAGCAATGTGTAGCACTTCAAAAGATCTCAAGTTTATTAGGCTTCTTACATCAGAGTCATGACTTTGCCTAGACTAAATCTGTGTTCAGTCAAAACCTTTTGTTTGTTGTCTTAAGTTAATTATTAGACTTCTTGTTATCTTGTCAACTGGGTATATTTTCTTGCTTCTTTTCCAGGTAGCATTGAATAGTGTAAGAACAGAAAAAAAAAATCAAATAACTAGATTGTGGAGTGCTGTGGTTTCCTGTGCTAAAGATTGGATTAAAAAAAAAAACAGATGCAGTGCTCTTTATTGGTTGTTCATGGATTATCAAGTGTTGATTGAGTGGTGAGTTGTCCTGACACCCCAAATTCGCAATTTTTGGTATTGCAGCAATAGAGGCCCTAACCGTAATAAGTACATTGTCAGTACTAGAGATTCCCAAGTCCAGTGCTGGAGGCCCAGCTGCGCTGCACTGCACATTTTCATGTTTTCCCTGCGCCTGACTCATTTAAGCATCTAATTTTCAATCCTTCTTGAGCTGAATTACATTTGTCATAGAAGAAAAAAATGAAAAGCTGTGCAGTACAGTTGGCCATAGTATACAGCCAGTATATTATATGTGTATACTACTGTGCAAAAGTTACTGGTCGTGAGAATAATTTTAATGATGTTTAATATGATTTAATTATTGCTTAATTATTGCTAATTATATAAATTGCTTATTTATATAAAATTTGACAATGTACATTTAAGGATTATAAACTGGACACCAAACAGTACCTTTAAAGGGCTTATTCCATGTTTAGGACACAAGACAAAGCTCTTAAATCAATAAAATTTATAATTTACTATTATCACTTTCACTAAACTTTTTTTGTCAACTTGAGATTCGATCACCAAATACAGCTTTTTCAGTTATTTTAATATTCTCTGTAGCTATGAAATATTTTGTGGCTTTTTTAGTAATTGTTGGAAAATTGTGAAGATGCAAAAGACTAGCATCAGACCCTGAGCTGCCAGTTTATAGATACATTTAACTGCCTTTTTCATCTCAGGTTATAGATCGTATTCCAGATTTTTGTATATTTCTAATTGTATATATGCTTGTAGATTTTTTATATTTATTCTTCCTTTTATATTGTTTCACCCTTATTATTATTACTGTCCTGTGTTGTGTGACTGCTACTGGCTGCTAAATTTCCTTTGGGATCAATAAAGCATCCATCCACCATCCATCCATCCATCCAGTACCTATGGTTAGGGTTGGGCAATATGACTATATCTCATTATCATGGTAAATTATGTCACAATACATTATGCTTTTCTGAACATTGTGTATCACCACTACTTAAAGAACACTGACCAACTGCATGTTTCATTATAATTAGAGCAAAAGTGGTCCCATTTAACTGGATATTGAATATAAAATTTGAATAAATATTGAATAAAAATCATAGTTTTGATATCGTTTTTTAAATGTAGCACAACTGGTTCTTTTTTCTCAGTTCCAACTGATCAGATGTCTGAAAAAAATAAATATCATGACATCGTGTACCATGAAAATTTCTTGAAGTATCGCAGTATAATATTTTTGCCATATTGCCCACCTCTCCCTGTGGTCATTGTCCATTTAATTAGGTTCCTTGGTATCACCTACTAATTAGGTGCTTTGTAGGTATACATTGACTGTAGCATGTTACTTTACACAGTTTATTCACCACCATCTAACTCATCCACCAGTGGACATAAGCCACCATGGGAGCACCACTGGCCAGATAAAATTTGGATGGTGGACCATTCTCAGCACAGCAGAGATACCAGCATGCTAGCTGCATTGTAGTATGTGTGGTGCAAACATTGTGTACACTTGTTGTACTATATTAGATATGCCTACCTTGATGCTACACCTTGTATGTGTACAGTTAAATGGTCGCTCATCATTTTCCATGCACAATCTCTTGCCCATTATCAGTGGTCGGTTTTCGATCACAGGCCCACTATGAGATGGGTATTTTTTTATGGTTAGTGAACTGTTCTCAACTTGGCAGCGTTTAAACATGGGATGGTGATGGCTGACCATTTGTGTGGCAACAGGTGTTTTAATCAGTTATTGTGTACATTCAAAAGGCACCTATGTGGTAGCTGTACCTAATGACCTGGCATTCCTGTGTTAGTAATTTTTTCATGTATCTGCAAAAAAAAAACTCATATTGAAAACAAACTTTTGAAGAGTAGTGCTTATGTGTATTATGTCACTGAGCAGCATTGCTTGTGCGACAGGTGCAGTCTCAGGAGCAGCAGCGGGCCAACTCCTCCAAGAGCCTGGCTGCAGTGGTGGCGCGACTAGAGAGGAATGCCGTGAGCTCGAGTGCAGAGGGAGAGGAGCTGGAGCGGCTGGGTGAGGAAGAGGAGGAGGGTGAGGAGGAAGGGGAGGCGGTGGTGCCCCGTGTGCTGTATGAGGAGCTAGTGCACAGCTACAGGCAGCAGGAGGAAGAGGTGCGGCGGCTGCAACAGGAGCTGGAGCGCACACGCAGGCAACTACTGCAGCAAGCCAAAAAACTGAAGGAGTACAGCAGCCTACTGACTGAGGTCAAGGAGCTGCGTGACTTCAACCGCCGCCTTCAGGATGTGCTGCTCATGAGGCTGGGCAGTGGTGAGACACACTTGCATATACAGGCCACAACATTATACACTCTTTTAGACCATTCCAGCGGGCCCACGCAGATGGCTGACCTGTTACAGTCATGTGGCTGACATCAGTTCTGAGGACACAGTATGTTGTGGAATGCTTTTGTGGCGTGAAATTGTCGAGCTGAAAGCCAGCATCAACATCTCCTCCTCCATATTGAATTTGGTCTTCTTTGGTTTCATGTTCCAGAAGCTTGAAGTTTATTTTTAATGTTTCTCATGCTTGAAGCAAGGCCCACTTTAAGGTGTTTTGGTAGCGTGTTTTATTTTTGTTAAGACTCCAGATTCATTGAATGATAGATTGAATGTTTTTGAATTGTACTCTTGAGGATGCAATAGACAAGCATTTCTGCTAGATAGCAGAAAAAAAGATTGAGCACCCAATTTCAAAAATTATTCACGGGCACTTTTTGAGAGGATGGACTACAACATTGTGCCACGTCAAAAGCAAATATCCACAGACAACTCTTTTGCCCATGTTCTCTGAGAGAAAGAGTGCTGCATGGCAGTGAGAGGACATTGTGCACGCAAAATTATGGGGTGGACGTATATTCAATTTAGTTTCATAGAGTGCCTCATATACACGCTTAAGCCTGGCCTCATCTATCAGCGCTACGTGCCACAGTCAATACATACATTGTTTTTGTACATCTCGATACATTAATGCAAAATTTAATTGAAGGGTGCCTATTTTAAATATTTTAAAATGGATTGGAACATAGCTCAGCCAGCCAGCTTTAAGATCTAGAAGGTTCTGTGTTATAATCAACATTTTGATATGTCCTTGGTTTTAGGCTTGTCAGTACGTGATTAATTGCGGTCTAATGATGGTTGGGGTGCCGGTTAAAACAATTGGCCAAAATTTACATCCCTGGTTGGTAGTCCACATTATGCTGTTTGCTCCTCTTGTAGATTTTGCATGGGCCATTTGCATGAGTAGCCATTTCTAAATGCTTTGATGGTTATGTGAAAGTTTTTAACTGTGCAAATATGTACTGGGTAGCACACTTCTGCACTGGTGTAGTACTGCTGCTTAGAGTAGCGTGGGGGGTGATTATATCTGAGATTTGAACCACAGTGCCGGCTGCTTAAAGAGGGACATGGTGTCCAGAGGTCTAAGGCCAGTGTCCCAGCCAGCTGCTCTGTCTGAATGTGTGTGCTTGTGTGAGTGGAGGGAGGGCGCAGACTGAGAGATGGAAGAGAGCTGATGGTGAGGGCTAAAGATTAGACTGGCCAGGGTGCATTGGGGTCAGGAATGCAGTACGTTGACCGATATTAAAACTCATCAGCTACATTAGAGCTTAGCGTGGCCAGCCACCAAGCCAGCTTACTGGGCTAAAATAACCCGGCTGTCTCGAGGCACAGGGGAAGCCGTGTTTTAGGCAGCCACCCAAAGTGAGTCAGCCAGGACTCAGTACAGCCATGCTGGCCAGAATGAATCAAAGCTCCTGAGACGGACAGAGCGCACATGTGGGCTTTGCAAAGAACAGTTTCTTGTTCTTTTCCTGCTTTGCTGTTTACTTTTTACTACACTGTAGGCCAGCAGACTGGCATCTTAATTAACCTGTGGTCAAACGCTTTGCACCCCTCAGAGCCAATGCATGACAATGGCACTCAGACAATCAAAGCTGAGGTGGTGGAGCCAATTGCCGAGCCACAGGAAGTGTGCCGAGAGGAAGCCAACACTAGCTCCACCCACTCCCCCTCGCCGAGGACCGTCTACACCTTCAATGATGGAAAAGTAAGAGTGTGTGTTTGTGTGTGTGTGTTTGTTGTAGAGGTGCCCAATATATTGTCAGTCATTTTCACTACATTTGACACATATATCACTGAAGGCTGCAGTGTTAAAATGAGCCCTCTAAGAAATCATTCAATTATTTACTGTATGCTGTGATTTTCCTGACCTATCTCAAACATTCCAGACTTAGTTTCTATGGGGCATTAATGTGATCCAACAAGTTCACAGAATTTTTAAATCAAAATAATATCAATCATTTAACTACTACTAAATACTGATCATTTAACCATGTCAGTCATGCTTCACTGATATATTCAGTGATATTTACTGTATCTCAAAGTATATAGTGAGGGCGCAGTATGATATTTATCATTATCATGATCAGTGCAGTGTATGAAACTAATATAAAAAACCTGGATTTATAGGTTTTATAGTGTATCATGTCATTACTGGTTCTTTTTTGTCTGTTACAACTTTTAAACCTCAGAGAAACTAAATATAATCATGTGTATCATGAAAATGTCTTAAAGTATTATATTTTTGGTCATATCATCTACCCCTTTGTATAATAATCACAATATGGAGCAATATAACTGCAGCATAGTATTTTGCCATATTGTGCAGACCTAGTAAATGTGTGAATAATCCCCTTCCTTCTGCATCTGCATTTTGGAACTGACCGCACATCGTTTACCATCAGTATTCTTGCTTTAAGCTTTGTAGTCTTTTGTTCAGCCCTTTTAGTTTTCTCTAATTGGCTATGAATCTCCCATCCCAGTAGGCATTTTAACCGGAGCACTTGCTGTGATATTGCTGAGCCCTGTTAGCAGACAGTGGGCCCGTGTTCGCCCTTATTTCCGCCTGCCTCCCATGACAAGAGGGAATTTGTGTTACACGCTGAAAGGGTTCTCAGATCAAGCGTGAAGAACAAAAGCAAATTAGGCCTTACACACCCGCACATTCCCCGTATTAATTATTTGTACCACAGGAGTTGCGCTGAGTGACAGGTAGCTGGAAAAACGCAAATCTTCTCTAAGTTAAGAGCAGTGAAAAGCTTGTCTGCTGGCCAGCAGCCTAAAGCACATTAGTTGCATTGGGGGGAAAAGCCTCTGGAAGCCAGCCTAAAGACTTCTCAGGGTGACAAAAGCAGCCGGCACATTACCTCACCTATAACTCACCAGCCGCCCATCAATCCACCTGATGGCTTGTTTGGCGTTGTCCTCCGCAATGTGACTTAAAAGTCAACACTGTGGTCTGGCGTCTGTCAAAACACATTACTCCGCCTGCTGAACCTGAGGACCTCAGCTCCTGAATGTATTTATGAAGCATCACTCAGATGGCCTCATCTCTTTATTGGGTCTCGGAGGATGGGTGGAGAAGGAAAGATGTGGCCTGTTAGACCAGCCCTTCATATACCTGTGCTAGATGTTGTCTTGAAACGCGTAGTGCCCAGATATGTGGCTGCAAAGAATTGCAAAACATCACTCAGTTTTAACACACCGAAACCGCATTGTCTGATGATGTGTTATCTGTGTGGCAGTGTGAACAGCAAAAACCACATTGAATCTGACATCTTCAATTCCGATTTGAGATGCTTTCATATTTGGTACTGAAATCCGAAACGTATCCGATATGCGGCAGTGCGATTCATGCAGCTTTTACATGAATCCAACTCCACATTTGTCATAATTTCGCGCTGCTGAGACCTCACAAACATTTGGGGTGATGTTTCTCTATGACCAATTAGAAGCCACTTACCCAAAACCCTTCCGTGTGCAAAGAGATTTTGAAAGAAATGGCCGGACACGACCGTAGGAGAACGAGGCTGCGGTATCATAGTTCAAAGAAACTGAAATCTCTGGGAGTGCATTTGTTGGCAGTCATGATTGTTTATCTTTGGATGAGCTCACCAAATGAAGCACTGTGAAGCAATGTTCTTTTGCGCATGCAGGTCAGTTTAGGAGCGTGATCTGTTTAGACTAATGTCGCATATAGGTCACATTTAAAAGATGTTGTGAACAGCCAAACCAAAAAAAAAACAGATTTGGTGAGAAAATCAGATTTTACCTGCTGTGTGAACGTAGCCTAAGAGTCCAGTATCCAGAACCAGAATATTAAGCTGCACAATATAGACATTGTGTTTATGTAGCTGCTTACTATAGTATGCCTTGCAGTATAGTGCAAAAAGCATATTGATGAACTTTTCATGTTGCATGGTTTGTATTATTTTATTTAATAGAATTGTTTACATTGATTGGATCACATGAATGATTCATCAAAATACCCAGAGAATCTGGAAAGTCTGTGATTGGTGAGAATGGTCACTGCGCAATAGGCAACTGTATATCTAGCACATAGCTACAACATTTAGGTGTAGGTGTAGGAGGTGCATTCAGGTACAGCATATCTTTTTCCTGGCTCACAGAATTTTATTTGTGTATTCTTATCCTCCAGGTTCACCTTGGTGGAGGTATTTGGGTGGAAGAAGAGAAGTGGCATCAGCTGCAGCGTACACAGGGTGACTCCAAATTCACCAAAAACCTAGCTGTCATGATCTGGGGCACAGAGACGTTGAAAAACCGCAGCGTGACTGGAGTAGCCACCAAGAAGAAGAAGGACGCCCTGCCTAAACCTCCTCTCTCTCCCAGCAAACTCAAAATCGTACGAGGTATATTTGCCTGCATATATTTTTTCTGTAAAAGATTTTGCTGTTAGAATGTGATATGATATTATAGGCCTGGAGTGGAACCATAATACATTTAAATATTTGGCCAGTTTGTGCTTAGTTTCTAGTTAGTCAGCTTGGTGATCCAGATTAAGTGTGTATTATTTATGTGGTAATGCACAGGACTGAGTGATACGGGGTGAAATATTGGCACTGGTGTGCTGCATTTGAGGGCAGTCTTGTCAACATCATCTCTATTATTTGTGGCTTAGGGACAATGATGACGTAAAAATTGATAAATAAGAAAATTATTACATAAAGAAGTGCTAGGTTACGTGTGTATAAGGACAAGTGATACTTAGAGATAGAAAAAGAGATATTGACACTCATAGAACTCCTCTCAGCCTTCACTGAATTGCAAGCTCAGAACTAACTGTGGAATTATCCATCAAATTCCATGGGAAAATCTTCCATCATAATAACATCCAAGTCCTAATCCAAGTTTTCTGTTTCAGAGTGTCTGTATGACCGTGTGTCCCAGGAGACAGCCGACAGTGCTGAGATCACACAGCGGCTATCCAAAGTGAACAAATACATCTGTGAAAAGATCATGGATATCAACAAATCCATTAAGAACGAGGAGAGGAGAGAGTCCAAGCTTCTGATCCGGCAGACGGTGAAAATGGAGAACTTCTCCTATGACGGCGTGTAGGGCCTCCGGAGTTGTCACCATAGCTCATTCTGCTCTTCATGGACAGCTGGGGGGAGAAGAGGGTTCACGTGATCACGTGCGCTGCCATTTGAGATTCTCACTGAAGCCCAAAGCGAGGCCTTTTTTACCCTTTACTACCCCATAACACCTCACAGCCTAACCGACAGCTTTACCCCCAACCCATACAGCCTGCCATGAGCCATGAGTTTGTTGGTATGTGAACAATGAATGAGTGTGGGCTTTGAGGGATTTTATAAGCTTTAAATGGGAATATAGAGGGGAGGGGGTGTGTGGTTGGATATTGTGTGTTTGACAGGAGCGATCCTATAAATCACATCAGAAAAGAATGTGTATGGCACATCGACTGGTGTTCTGTGTCAGAACATATCTTTATTGTCCTTAAGTGATCAAAGATTTCCCTTCGGAGGAACTGTTCTGGTTTTGGGAGGATATTGTAAAACGTTAATGCTGGTTTGAGTGTAAGGCTAGTCTGCTTGCCGTTGGTACTTAACTTGGAGGGCATAAAAATGCACCTTCAAACAGGGTCCGACCCTGCAGTGTCTTAATGTAAACCTTTTAATCAGTCGGTTAATCAATCAGTCAAGGCCCAATTGTTCAAGAACTTTACATTGAAAATGACTCTTGTATGCTTACTTTGGTTTCATGTTGTTCCATGTAGATCTGATGGTGCTAATGACAAGATAAGTTCACTGCTTCCCTCAGATGGTTAACAAAACTTGTTTGAGGTTACGTTGGTAAAATCTCATTTGCATAAATATTTTTACTTGTTAGCAATACAGTTCAGTTCAATCTTAATCTTTTTCTGTCTTTTTAGGGGACTTATCTAAACTTTTGCGCAAAGAAAAGGATGCATGCACGCCTTTTTCTAAACTGTGATCGGTCACTTGATAGACTAGACATGGATATTTTTTGATGTGTTGCCTGTAATATAATGCTTATGAGAAATCAACACCTATGAGCAAAAACTATATTCCAAGTTGAGGAGAAAGAGCTGGGTAGGGCTTTTTTTTCTTTCTTTCTTTTTAGGGTTTGGCAATCATTGGGAACTGTGTTCTCTGTTTTTATAGCAAGCTGTGATTGTAATACGAGCTGATATTACTTAAACTGCACTTTGGAGTGTGAATGTGGGGAAGTGGCAGACGGAGCGTGTGGCTGTGGGTAAAGCTGTCGGCAGCGCTTGGTGTTAAACGTGTTGGTCTCTTCCTTCAGACCAGACAAACGGCAGGGTCCCCACTCTGAGCCTCCTGCAGGGGTGAAATTAGTGGGGATGAAAATAAGGTATAGTGACAACTTCCAGTGAGCCATGCCATCCATGCTTTTTTTTTTTCCCCCATTTTCTTTAAACTTTTCATCTCTCCCTGTTCTCTCTTACATGTTTTGTTTTGCTTTTCACAAACAGTTTGTGTGGCTGTCTGTTTTTTTGTTTGTTTGTTTGTTTGTTTTTTTAAAAAAAGGCCTCCTTGCTGCAGGTTTGAGTTTTCGACTGTGATGACATAACGCTAACTGTGAATCAACCGCAAGTCTGCCTCTCAAGTCTGCCTCTTTCTCCTCACTTTTGCTTCTGACCTTTTTGTTGCTTTATCATTTAATTGTTTCCCCTCATTATCCACATGTATTTTCTTAGCTATATGGTTTTGTTGGGGGAACTTTTTATTGTATATTTGGATATATATATTTGGATCATATTATCATATTATGAACATCATTTTTTATCCATGCTGCACCTTATTCTGCTAAGCTCCTCACTTGAAACAAGCCCATCACTTTATATCATAATTCCGAAAGTCTTCTACCTTTTGCCTATTCATGCCTAGTCAAATCATTTTCACTTTCAGTTCTGTGCATCTTCTCTTAAGTATAGATCATGTCTAAAAGAAAGCAGGGCTCGTCACAAACGCATTATCGCTAATGGAGTGCTGTCAAAGAAAGCAAACCATATCTTAAATTACGATTGCTAATTTATGGCTGTCACAGTTATCACAGTGCTACAAGAGCTCTATCACATCACTGTGAGTCATTTATTAAGGAGTATAATTTCACTTTTTGTTTCATTTTCCCTGTTTTCTGGAAGTGTGCATATAATTGAAGCAGGCGTAGCCACTGTATCAGACAGCACTTTAATCATAAGAAAAACTATATCATAATGATAGGCAAAAATGGGTCTTAATGGGTTGAAATAATTACATGGATATGTTAAGTCCACTTCAGTATCTAATAATGAGATGAATTTTAAGTTATGGGTTGCTTTTGGTTAGAAATGATTTGTCAAATCTATTTCCATGCTAATGCCTAACTTTTTTCTCTTCAAACCAGAAATTTCAGCACTTTTCTGCCACACCATAGTTGGGAGAAATCCTGTTTTTGCTTGATACATCTGTGAAAGATACATTTATCTTAACTGTTTTCTAAAAGTAACTTACCTCCAATATGTCGAAAGTAACAATGACAGAACAGACAGTTGGTGGATCAAGCTTATATCTTTCTGTGGAATTTCTTTTTCCTCTGTTTTTATGTAGATATATTGTGTGCTGTGTGCTATATATCGGCCCGCTAATCAAATACGTGCTGTTCTATAATGGCGATAGGTATGTGGGTACACTGGAAAACACCAGCTTTAGCTAAGCTGTTGTTGAATGACAGACAAAAGAAACTTGTGATCATTTTTTAATATGAGATTGAGATCTGTTGCCTTGAAAAGGAGGAAAACTTTATAAGTAATCTGTTTTTTGTTTTTTTGGACAGCCACTCAGTGAGTGAATTTGGGCTGGACAACTTTCACATGCAATATGGCTGGAAAAAAAAAAAGTAACGTCCCTCCAGTTGTGAACCCTAACAGGGAAAAAAGTGTAACTGTGAAATATTTACATTTACTAGCTATATATGGCCATGATGAACTGTAGTCGTCAGTTGCTTAAAAGCTACAAAAGCGAACCAGTACACCTCTCGGAAACTCTAACTGTCCTCTGGTCTGCACTAGTGAAATTCATCTGTCCTCATGTTTGTGCCCATGCTTTTGAGTGGCTGCATCACAGTGGTGCTTAGCTTTTGAGCTGCTTAGCTCCCTAAGGATCCAAAACAATCTGGATGCCAAGAAGACCAGTGTAAAGTGTCGATGCGGAATCATCACGCCAGATGCATCACACTTGGTGGCGTTTCAAACCAAGAGATGCGTTTGGTAATGCTGAGGTGTCCTTTAGTGGGGTTTATACGCTTATATGTGAATGTGTGTAGGTGTCGGGTATCGTAATGTGTCTGGGTGGTGGGTTGAATATAAGCCAAAGTGGAATGTGGAGTTGAAAAGCTGGTAATCGGTCAGCTTGATATGAACTTGCACAAAAATGGCCCTTGCCAAGGTTATTGTCCAGAGTTATCTAAGCTCAAAAAAAAACAGAGGCTAAATATATTTTTGTTTAAATTGTCTATGGAAGTATGAGATGTTACTGTACTCCAGTTTCCATAGAGATCGCCATGGTCCTGTTGCGCTCTGTTTCATATCAGAAGAGCATTAAGCTTTCGATGGCGTGTTTGTGCATACTGTTGTTTTAAATGGAATTTATCATATTTTATTCGATCATATTTTTCTTTTGTCATCCTTTGATTATTTTTGTTTATTTCTGATGCCAAAAAAGGGGAACGGGAAGAATACTTAAAAAAAAATAATTATTAAAAAAGGCAAAAAAAACAAAAAAACAAAAACAAAACAAGCTGATCTACATGTATAGAGCGTAGTACTGCTTTCGGCCAGCTTTGTAAACCCACTTAGAGAGATTGTCAGTCAGCTGCTGAGGACCCATCCACATGTTACGCAAAGCTGCCCAGTACTCCACTGTAACACTTCCGTCATTATACACACTTAGCGGGTTTCACTTCTGTCAGGTATCGCTCCTCTCAGTCCATGTTAAAGTTCTTCAGGGCCCAGCTCAAAGCAATTAATTTTTCAACTCAGCTTTATCGTAATGAAAAGTATTTTTGATAAATTAAAAAAGCCTAATCAGTCAGTTCAGGTGATTCTTTGGCAGTAATGATACGTGTACTATCACAATCCTACCTCATCGCTTTTCATGTCTCTAGTTGTGTGCGCCGTTCATAGGACCTCACTCAACAAACACGTGCACAGATTTGTAAATAAATAAGTCTGTATTGCACTTTTCTTTTAAAAGAATCCTATTGATGTCTCCTCTTTTGAATGAACGGTGTGCATTCAGACTTGAGACGATTATTTTAGAGCCTCCTTTCAGTCTGCCTGACTTGCGTAGGACTTTATCTTCTGCTCATCCTAATTCTGTGGTTGTATCAATTCCATTCGTGCAGTAAATCAGATTTCTTGTTCATCCTGTATTGCTTTGGTTTTCTCTAGTTGATGGTGCTACCAGCACACGTGTGTCATTTACCTCAAACGGTGCTACTTTTTACTGTGGTGGATGTCACTTGGTGTCACATGATCAAAAGCCAGTTCTTTCTACTTAATATCAGATGAAATCAGGACACAAATGTATCTTGCTAATCACTTCACTCACTCCATATAACCTTATCTATTACTAGTTATGTACAGGACATCGCTGTATCACTGTTAAATAGTATATGCAGTTTATTCTGGATCATCGTTCGATAACAGCAAAATCGAATGCTGTAGTATGTTAGCCAGTCCACACAGTCTACCTACCTGAATCGTACTGGGCAGTCGTGTCTTAGAGTAACGTGGTCCTCAGCAATGAACCGATCCAATTACACTATAGTTACCTCCTCAGAAAGACAATGTGAGAATGATTATATTGAGAATATATTTTAGGTATCGCAATACTCTGCAGTGTATTGTAGAGGGTTTGTATGACTTACCAAAGTTATTCCCTCCCAAAGACAGTGTATCTCTTAAAACTGTTTGATGATAAAATGATAAAGGTTTGCTTCTCAATTCTCTTATTAATAGTCTTTACCTTACTAGCTTTCTGTACATATTAGTTTGATTAGCCGCATTTGCATTTCCATAGTTATAATAGCAAAATGTGGTTCATCTAACATTTAAGATCTCCCAGCAAAAACACCAATAATGAGATTTTTTTTCCCATCTGGGTTTACATGAGAATTGGAAGCTAATCTATTTTAAACCAAACATTTTCAAGATGTCAGTTCAGGATAACCTCTTCTCATATCAGATGATATGACTGAAATGTATCCTGAACGTAATGAATTGACCTCAGAACAAATATTGTTTGGAATTGGCCATGTTGCATTTAACTCTCCGTCCTATCATTTCACATTTCGCATCTTTCATCATCTTTATTCTTGCTGCTGAATAAATATCTAGAAATCTATGTATATGTACTTACCGATATTTTTCAGAAAGACATCCATAGCGAATGTCTTCTAAAATAACTGTGAACATGCTTTCTCTTCAGGTGGTGGGTTTTGTGGGTTTTCCTGCTTTTGCAGGATTCATCTTTTCAGATAAAGGAGAGCATGTGGTGAATGTCCTTTCCTTTGAGTTGTCGTTAGCACCACAATCCAAAGGCAAGGGCTGACAGTTCCGCCTGATTTCTCTGACCTGGACTGAGCTTCGGGTTCTTCATGGGAAAATGCACTTAAGTTGATCAGAGAGGCTCTATCTAAACTTTCGGTGTGTAACTGTAGGCTTAAACTGGGTGTGATAAACCAGGCCTTTGCTGCCCCTCATGTTTTTGCTTCCTGCCAGGCTTAGACAACCAGAAAAGAAAACCATTTCCTCACCGACCAGGCCCACTCCTCTCCGGTGCGCGGCTGGCGTGGCCGGTCAGCATTAGTTTGTTGTGTGTGTGCTGCAGTCCAAGTACTCTTGTCCTATGTACAGATCAACAGAATAAATTCAGACTTTTATTCTACAAATAAAAGAACCCTCTCAGGGGTCATCCAGTCCTTTTGTCTTTCTTGCCTGCTTGTGTATGTTCCTCATACCTGTGAACTGAATCAGTCAGATATCTCAGTGGTGTGTAACGGTTTCAGTACAAAATCAAGTATATGAGGGAGAATAGAAACTGTAAACTATTACTAATATTCCTGTCAATCTCTGTCAGCAGTGTCTCATGGAAACCAATGTCTGGACATCTGGGTGGCTAATGTCAGAGTAAAGTGGGAGGGGATGGGGAGGGGCTTATACTTAAATGACAGCTTTTTTCTGATCATACATAAAAGTTGTAGGGGTTGCAATTTTTTGAGCTTGTTTTGTTGGAGGGCAGGCTCTGCAGCTACTGGAAAAAGTTTCCTTTAGAACTCATACTCAAACTACAAATAAAAATCAAAGACTGGGCTCAAACAGCGTAGTTCTCATGGTGTTTCAAGACATTTTTAAATAAAATAAAATTTCAAAAATCAAATTGAACCTAATGTGTTTTGTTAACCCCATATTAAATAGCATGGATGACATACACATTGAAACCTGTGACCCACACTTGAATGTGTTTTTGTTTTTTTTTTAGTCACTTGCTGTAAATGCACAAGGCCAAGGCCAGCAGCTGTTGTGCTGTTTGCCGTGTACATTTACAGGCAGTAGGTTACCAGGACTTCGGATGTCTTTTGTTTTTAGAGCCACTTTAATGTGTCTTGGAATGCTGGTTTATGTTCTGAAGGTGGAATTCTGGCCGTTGTTCTAAAAAAGCACTCCTGGTATCAAATTGTATAGAGTAGCTGAGAGCAGCCAATATGGGTTTAAGTGTTCCCTTTGGCTTTCTTCAAGGAAAGCTTTATCCCACTGTTAATTTATTAGATGTCACAATTTACTTCAGAAACTCAAAGGTAAAGTGTTCTTACAAAGATGCCTTTTATAACACATGAGGGTTTGAGTGCTTAACGTATGGCCCGTTTATGACAGCGTTTAAAAGTGTTTATATTATGTTGCATTTTATGCGGCTCAGCTCAGAGAGGCCTCAGTTAACTACAGTTACACAACTATAAATGTGAACACAAGAAACTGAAAGAAAAGTTGTATGTGCATTCACCATATCGAAGCTCTGTAGTCAAACCATGTATCTCCTTTTTTATTTTTATTTTTTACACATACACACTGCTTTACACTAAATTAAACCTTAATCATGTGCATTTTATTAAAATAAATGACTGAATATTCCATTCTGTCACTACCAGAACAACCATGTCACCCCCAAAACAAAAAAGTTTTGTTATTTAAAATCAAACTCTAAATCTTTCAGCTTCACTTGAAAATAAATAAATAAATACTAAATTTATTATTTTTTTCACAAGTTTATGGGTTAGGGTTTTGGGCAGCCACCTTCCAATAGAAAGTGGCCTATAAATGATGATTTAGTGTATATTTAGCTTATTACTACCTCTATGAACGTCTAAATTTAAATCAGTTATAATCATTGTAAATGTCTTAATTTCTGAATATTTAACTGTTTTTTCTTATTTTCTTTTTTACTATGTCACTGCAGTTTGTACTAATTCAGTGGAATAGTCCATGTATTTGTGCGTGTGTGTGTGTGTGTGTGTGTGTGTGTGTGTGTGTATGTACACATATAGTGCTCTACAAGTGGCTGGTTGACATGCGCTACAGTGCACTAAACAGAACATGAAAAGACTGAGTCTGAAAGGCTGGTAGACACAGGGCTGTTGGGGAATCCACTGATACAAATGTATCCATAATATATAACAATTTCAGACTGTGGCAGTTTTTAAAGGCAGTGAATGACCTTTTCTTAATGTCTTAGCATCCTTGACTATTTGCAGCGTGTTCTGCCTCCA